TTTAAAATATATTTTCTTAGTAGTTACCATGAATATTATATTTAAGAGCTTGTATTTAGAACATTCTAGGGTAGGTTGGTACCAACTTAATTTTAGTAACATACAAGATATTCTGTATCTATACCATTCCTCTGCCCCCCTTTTGTTGTTAGCATTAATTATACCTTTGTATTTCATGTGCCCTGTAACATAGTTTTATCCTTACCTTTTATATATTTGTTGTCAAAAAACGTGAAGGGCATAACATTTAGAATTATCAAGCATGAATATCTTACCATGAGCTTTTCTACTTGTCCATGCAGTTCCCTTCATTAGGGGTCTTTCTTTTTTTATGTATAACTTTGTATTACTGTCTAGTGTCTTTTCCTTTCCATCCAGAGAGCTCCCATTATTATTTTTTGTAGCACTGGTCTGGTGGATAGTGGATATGAACTCTCTCAGCTTCTGTTTTAATTTCACCCTCATTCTTTTTTTTTTTTTAATTGTACTTTAGTTGAAGGTTTACAGAACAAACTAGCTTCTCATTAAACACTTAGTACACATATTGTTTTATGACATTGGTTAACAATCCCAGGACATGTCAGCACTCTTCCTTCTCGACCTGGGTTCCCTATTACCAGCTTTCCTGTCCTCTCCTGCCTTCCAGTCCTTGTCCCTGGGCTGGTGTGCCCCTTTAGTTTCATTTTGTTTTATGGGTCTGTCTAATCTTTGGCTGAAGGATCAACCTCAGGAGTGACTTCATTACTGAGCTAAAAGGATGTCCGGGGGCTCACCCTCATTCTTGAAGGATAGTTTTTCTGGTTATAATATTCTTGGTTGACAGTTTTTTTCTTTCACCACTTTATCATTTCATCGCTTTCTGGTCTCCAATGTTTCTGAGGAAAAATCAGCGCTTAATCTTATTAGGGATCCTTTGTATGTGACTGTTTGCTTCTGTCTCACTGCTTTGAGGATTCTCTCATGATCTCTAATTTTTGAGAGCCTAACTATGATGTGTCTTGATCTTCCAGATCTCTTTGGGTTTATCCTGCTTAGGGTTCTTTGAGATTCTTGGATTTGTAGATTAATGTCATTTTTCTTCACATATTCTTTCTGTCCCTTTCTCTCTCTCATCTCCTTCTGGAATTCCCATGATGCATATATTAGGTCTCTTGTTGTTGTCCCATAATTTCATTAAACTGTACTCAGCCTTCTTAAACCTCCATTCTTGTTGCTCCTCAGCATCTGTAACTTTACCTATCTTAACCTCTAATCTGCTGATGCTTTTTTCTGCCTGATTAAATCTGTTGGTAAGTCCTTCTATTGTGTTTCTACTTTCTGTTATTGCCCCTTTCAGTTGCAGTATCTCTTTTTTTAGATCCTCATTTTGTTCTTGCATTGTTTTCCTTATTTCTTTTAGCTCTTTGTCTATGTCTTCCCTTAGTTCTTTAATTATGTTTAATATTGGTGTATTATAGGCTTCCATTTTTTTTTTCATTATTTGGTTATCCCTAGAGGCACTTTCATTCCCTTTGTCATGTTCATTTGGATGAGCCATTGTTTCTGGCATCTTTGTGTGTTTTGTGATTTTTTGTTGGGGCACTGGAATTTTCGAGGGTATTAACTTGTCCAGTTTTCCCCAGTATTTGGTGTTTTTGCCTGCACTACTTTCTACAAGAAACTCTTAGGTGGGCATAGCCTTCGGCCTTTGCTTATCATTTCCTCTCACTCTCTCTGATAGCTCCTTCGGCCTCTCTGGTTTAATTAGGATTCAAAAATTCCAGATCTCTTTTTTCAACCTTCCATCTCTCCCAAACACACCAGAGAGTACGCTGTGATCAGTCTCTCCACCAGCGGGCACTGCCACTCAGGAGAGATATCATGTACACCAGAGTCACAGTCTCCTCTTTCTGGTTATTACTCCCTTCCCTTGTCTGTTTCTGCGATCACATTTTTAATCTGAAAATCCACACCCAGAGAACCTCTTCTGGGCTGGATGTTGCCCTCAGGTTTTGCTTGAGGTTTCTTTCCTGCTCTGTGGCGACTGCTTATATCTGATCTGGCATTCAGGGGAGGCATAGGCAGACTTTCCTCTGTTTCAAGAGGAGGAAGGGCTAGCACTCCTCAGAAGGACCTCTGATTGATCTCTCTTGTTGGTTTCACAGCCCCAGTGGCCCTGTGGTTGTTGGGGGAGCAGTCTTCACTTAGGTGACCCACCTCCTGACTCTACCTTCTGTAGAAGTTTGTATCAGTCTAGCAGTCAGCAGTTATTAGTTGGGGGAGGGGTTATCATGCTCCAGACAAATCCCCAGGGAGGTCTGCCTTGTTGCTATCAGAGTCACCCTGGTAGATTGTTGGCTGTGAGTGGAGCCTCCACTCAGGATTCCTGCCTCCTAACACACAGCAGTCTCAGTCAGCAGTCCTCAGCACCAACTGGAAGTTGGAGCATACTAACCCCAGTTGACCTCAGGGAGGTCAGTCCTGTTGGTTTCAGAGGCCAGAGCTATGGAGTGCACAGTTAGACAGAGTGCTGACTATGGGAGCAGACTCCACTGCAGTGCCATTCTATAGCAATTCACAGCAGGCTTGCAGGTGACAGTGTTTGGGTAGGGGAGGGGCTGTCACACTCCAAAGGGACCTCTAGGGAGGTCTGTCTTGTTGCTGTCAGAGCCCTCCCTGTAGTATGTTGGCTGTGGGTCTAGCCTCCACTAAAGATGCCTGCTTCTTAGCACATAGTAGCCTCAGTCTGCAGTCCTCAGCACCAGGAGCAGATTATCCAATAAGCAAGTTAAGCATGGGCTTACTTGTGCTTACTTACTAATCTGTAGCGAACACTTTCACATGGATTTCATCATACCACATCAAAGTGAAACCTATATGAAATTGTTCGCTACAGATTAAAAAGTAAGCACAAGTAGGCCTGTGCTTACCTTGCTTACTGAGTCATCAGCTCCTGTCAGGGATTGTAAATTTGAAAAGAGGCTTTGATTCTATAGGAAGGTGCTGTGAGTTTGGAAGGGACACATGGCAGCCATACCTAGAAGTAGAATCTTAGATGTGGTGAAGAAATGTGAAATTGTTCACTACAGATTAGTAAGCACAAGTAGGCCTGTGCTTACCTTACTAACTGGATAATCTGCCCTTGCTCAGCACCAACCAAAAGGGGGAGCAGACAGACTTGAACTGACTTCCCAGGAGGTCTGTCCTGTTGGTTTCAGAGGCATGAGCTATGGGGTGTGCAGGGAGGCCAGTAGAATGTTAACTATAGGAGCAGACTCCACTGCATGGCCCTTCTGTAGCAATAATCAGTAGGCTTGCAGTCGACAGTGTCTGGGTTAGGGGAGGTGCTGGCACACTCCAAACAGACCCCTGGGAAGGTCTGCCTTATTGATTTTAGGGCAGAAGCATGTATAGGCAGGGGCTGTGGTGGTTAGGGAAGCAGAGTCTTTTTTGGGGACACTACCCCAGTTGACAGCAGCTGGCAGCCTGCATGGCTGGAGGAGGGGCAGGAACAGTGAGAGAAACAATTTTCCTGCCATATGCAACTCTCTGTTGATTTTTTGCATGTCTTCAGTTCCCCGCTTCTTTACTCTGCACCACGATTGAGAGTCCCTCAAAGCTGAGCACTGTTTCCTTGTTGTATTTCTTTTTTTAAATTAATTAATTAATTTTTATTATTGTACTTTAGATAAAGGTTTATGGAACAAACTAGCTTCTCATTAAACAATTAGTACACATACTGTTTTGTGACATTGGTTACCAACCCCACAACATGTCAACACTCTCGCTTCTCGACCTTGGGTTCCCTATTACCAGCTTTCGTGTCTCCTCCTGCCTTCTAGTCCTTGTCCCTGGGCTGGTGTGCCCCTTTAGTCTCATTTTGTTGTATGGGTCTGCCTAATCTTTGGCTAAAGGGTGAACCTCAGGAGTGACTTCGTTACTGAGCCAAAAGGGTGTCTGGGGGCCATACTCTTGGGATTTCTCCAGTCTCTGTCAGGCCAGTAAGTCTGATCTTTTTTTGTAAGTTAGAATTTTGTTCTACGTTTTTCTGCAGCTCTGTCTGGGACCCTCTATTGTGATCCCTGTCAGAGCAGTCACTGGTGGTAGCCAGGTACCGTTTAGTTGTGCTGGACTCAGTCGGCTGGTGGAGGCTGTGGTGGTTGTGGTCCATTAGTCCTCTGGACTAGTCTTTCCCTTGTATCTTTAGTTCTCTTCATTTTCCCTTGCTCCCAACAGGGTGAGACCAGTGGAGTATCTTAGATGGCCACTCATAAGCTTTTAGGACCCCAGATGCTACTCACCAAAGTAGAATGTAGAACATTTTCTTTATGAACTATGTTATGCCAATTGAGCTAGATTTTCCTCAGCCCTCATCCCAGTAATCCAGTCCCTCAGGGAGTTTGTATGTGTCTATGGAGCTTCCATGACCTTGCCTTGGGCAAGCTGTGCTGTTTTCCCCAGTATTGTGTACTGTCTTACCCTTCACCAAAGTTATCACTTACCTATTTCCTTGTATTTCTTGTTGTATTTGTGGTTGTTCATGCTGCCATCTTAACAAAATTCCTCTGGGAGTGGATGTTTTTGACCTCTGGTCAGTAGAGGAGAAGATTCCTCCTGGAGGCCAGCTAGGGTAGTGGCAGCTTTAAGCAAAGTGAGAGTCCCAGGGCAGTAAGAGACTGGTAGCTACATACCAGAAATTCTGTGTTTCAATCTCTGCTAATACCTTGGAGGTTCTGTGTTTGATTTTAACAAGGGAAGCTAATCTTAATCTCCACATATGTTCTTTGATAATGAAACTATACTATTTACATATCAGAACTCTTTCATTTCAGGTGTTTTGTTGGAATTTTTTCTTATATTTTTTGTTGCTAATGATCTGACCCCTTTGTAGTCCTAGGCCAAGAGTTCATTAGTTTTTAGGTGCTAAATAGCTGTTGTTAATAATTTATTTCAAGTTTATTTTTATTTGTTTATATTTACATATTTAACCATCTATCATAATTTTTACCTTGTATCAACAGGATCCTTACTACAGATTTAATGACCTTCACTACAGATGGATCTCTTTGGATAACTGGACCTATAGCAAGGAATTTAAAATACCCTTTAACCATAGGTATGTGTGTGTGTTTATTTTATTTTATTTAAGGAGCTTTCCTTCTTTTTCTGTCTAAGCAATAATCTTTGGTTTTGCTTTGTTTAGGCCACATATTAGAGAGTTAAGTCAGAGTAAAGCCTTGTACTTCAAAAGTTATTATAGGTTTATGTTTTGTTTTGTGTATGAAGATGGTGCCACTGATCCCCAGTCATGAAGTTGTTTCTTACTGAGTTATTTTTCTAGTGGTGTTAATGGAGTCACCTAGCCCCAGTCACATTCTTTTATCTGTATTTCTTCCTCTTTACCTCCCTGTAATCAAGAGAGTGTATACCTTTGTAATTTTGTTAAGTAGGATCAGATATACGTCATTTGTTCTGTGTGGTGCTAACCAGCCATTGAGACTATGTCTTTAGTCTTATATTGTGAGACCATGAGGAAAAACATGGATATTTGTTTTCAGTCATTTTCTATATTATTATAAGCAGATATTTCCATTTGAGGCAGAATGTAACCCAATTATATACACCACCAAAACCAAAACTGAACCAAACCCGTTGCCATCAAGTCAATTCTGACTTACAGCGACCCTATAGGACAGAGTAGAACTGCCCCATAGGGTTTCCAAGGAGTGGCTAGTGGATTTGAACTGCTGAGCTTTTAGTTAGCAGCTGAGCTTTTAACCACTGCACCACCAGGGCTCCTATACACCACCACTATTGCTAAATTAAAAAAAAAAATTTGTCCCTTTATATGACCGTTTTTGATAATTATTTACTAATCTCTCGAAAGAAAAATAAAGCCACCATATTGGGCTCAATATCATGGAGTTACTGTGCTCCAGGCTCTTATTTCTAAATATTTTAAATATCTCTATTAGTGGTCCTGTCTCACCGGGAACTCAACATACCCAACATTTAACCAATTGGCTCTCTCTTTAAAAACTAACTTCGTTTTCTAACAACCTCGTTGTTCCTCTTCACATAATACCATTTTTCCAGTCTTTGATGCCTCAGGTGGTTTTCGATCTTCATAACTTTCATTCATCTCCCTGAATTCAGTCTGTTTCTGAGTCTTGTTGATTTTTGCCTAACTTTTCTCTTGGTTTACCTGTCCCCTAAGTTTCCACCTGGGCCTAGATTTTATTAGTCAGTGACTGGAATAAGGCCAAAGTTGCCTCACTACATTTCTTGTATTGTCTTTTTAGTCTCCGGTCCTTTGTATATACAGACTTTAGACTCATCTTTCCAAAATATTGCTTTTGTCATGATATGTGCATGCTCAAGAATGGCCAATGTATTCCTTTTGCTTGGCAAATCAAGTTTAAACTTCTCTGCTTATCTGTGAAATACTGTTGAATCTTGCCTGTGGTGGCACCACTCTGCCCTCCCGCCTCCCACCTGGCCAGCTTTCTCTTCTTAACTTCCCAGCACAAATTCTGCACGTGAATCATGTCTGTTACCTTAATGTTATTGATGCTGTTAGCACTTCCTTGCTTTAGTTTGTTTTTTTTCCTCTGGTGTCTACCCTCTACCTAGACATTTATACCCATCTTTTTTTTTTTTTAATAGCACCTCTATTGAGATATAATGCACATACCGTACAATTTACTCATTTAAAGTGCACATTTCAGTGGTTTTTAGTATATTCCCAGGGTTGTGCAACCATCCCTCAATTTTAGAACATTTTCATCATTTCAGAAAGAAGGCTATATTCGTTAATCATTTCCCGTTCGCCTCATCCTTCTACACCCACTCCAGCCCTAGATAACTACTAATCTATATTCTAGCTCTATGATTTTGCTTATACTGGACCTTTCTTATAAATGAAATCATACAATGTGTGATCCTTTGTGACTGGCTTTTTTCAGTAAGCATAGTGATGGTTTTAAGGTTCATTGATGTAGCTTGTATCAGTACTTCATTCTTTTTTGTTGCTGAATAATACCCGATTGTATAGATTCACCACATTTTATTTATTTTACTCATCTTTTGGTTCCTGTTTCATTCTTGAAGTCTTCCTTATGACATAAACTCCGATAGCCCTTAAACTCTATCCAACAAGATCATATTACATAATAGAACAGATAGCGAGTCTGTTTGTTTCCTGTGTTTTGAGCCCTGGTGGCACAGTGGTTAAAGCCTGCTAACCCTAAGGTTGGCGGTTTGAACCCAAGCCCCTCTGTGGGAGAAAGATGTGGCAGCCTACCTGCATAAAGATTTAGAGTCTTGGAAACACTATGGGCAGTTCTGCTCTGTTCTAGGAGTCAGAGTCGACTCAGTGGCAACGGGTTTGGGGTTTTTCCCCCCCTGTGTTTTAGGCTTGGATTCCAGCCAGATTGCAGACTCCTTAAGTACAGAGACTATTTTAGTTCCTTGTAAGGCTTGGCAGAGTGCTGGGCACATGGTATTCACTCCTAAATACTTGTTATCTTGTTAAAGCGTTCTCTCATATTTGTCAGTAAATGTAATATTTTGTGAAAATGCTTTTGTGTCTGTTCTTTAACTTGATTCCCATAAAAACTTTGTGAAGTAACTAGAAATAAATCAGTGCATTTGGGAATTTTAAGTTGTGGTCCCAATTTTATGGAAATTGGCTTTTTATGAGGAGGGATAAGCCAATACTTCTGAAAATTGCATTGAGAACTGCTTTTAAAAAATGTATATTTTCTGGGAAATATTTATTCCCTTAATTCTTAACTTATAAACTAAGACTTAACTAAGTGAATGTTATATACATCTTGCTTTAAAAAAATCTTTTCTTTTTTTAGCAAATGGCAAAAAGTAAATCTGATTTTTGAGGGGATTGATACAGTTACAAAAATCCTGCTCAATAATGTCACTGTTGGGAAAACGGACAATATGTTCAGTAGATATGTAAGTATATAATGACATCCAGTTAAAAAAACTCACTTATGTGTGTTTATATTAATTGTTATTGTGAGTATAGAAAGGTGAATGCTTATTTGGCCATGCAGACACATTCAAGCTCTTGGAGCCCTGGGTAAATTACTTTATTTCTCTGAGCCTCAGTTGCCACATTTGTCAAAGTGATGAAAACACTGCATATTCTGTGGGGTTATTGTGAGGATTTAATAAACTGATTATCTAAAATGGGTGGCACAGTGCTTGCCACATAGAAAGTGTTCAACAAATGCTGTTCCCGGCTCTGCTGTTTGGAATATCCAGAATATGCTTTGAATCCCTATAACATTTTAAAAGTTTCAATTGAAATGTTGTTATTGAATATTAAAACTTATTCAGAGTTTTACAGTATTTCATAGTTTATAATATTTTCAAAAGCACTAAGAAAATGTTTAGAAAAAGCATTGTTTTTATTTATAAATTTGATTAATTTGTTTACCACTTGCCCTGGTGGCGCAGCGATTAAGAGTATGGCTACTAACCAAGAGGTCGGCAGTTTGAATCCACCAGCTGCTCCTTGGAAACCCTATGGGGCAGTTCTACTCTGTCCTATAGGGTTGCTGTGAGTCAGAATCGATTCAATGGCATAGGGTTTGGTTTTTCGGTTGATATCATAATGACAAAATATTTGGTGAATAATTCTGCAGATTCTTGCCTACAACTGCTTTTATCCAGTATTTTTAAATTTTATAATTATACAGGGTAGAACGAATGGAATTGTTATTACACATAAGAAAGCAGTATTAAATCTTGTTCTGAAATGTAGATAATAAATATACTGAAAATGCTAATAACCCAAGAAAATATACAATTTAATCAAGATTATTTCTAATACCAGTTTCAACATTGGTGTCTAGTTACTAGGCAAGTTCAAGCTGTAGTTGATGTCTAGTTACTAGACACCAATAGGCATACTCTAGGAGTGGGGATGTGAATGGGGAAAATGAGGAAATAATGCATGTCAAGTACTTACTGTATGTGAGACACCATGTAGGAGAATTTTATAAGCTGTTTTGTTTAATGAGTGCTTTATTTAGTGCATTAGGCTACTGTATTTGGAATAGCTACTGCTCTCCAACTCGATAATTTGAAAACATGAGGGGGATCAGGAAGTTAATATTAATATGGTGGACATTACAATGCTGAGATGAGTTTGTTTCTGTTGTTGATTCTCATATGTAGGATATTTCATTTGTTCATCTTTTGTTTAGTTAGTTCATTCAAACACTGCTTACCAGGAGTGCCTCTGGTAATGGGACCTTAGTGGGGTCGTGCTGCACAGTAGATTCCTGTGTAAGGTGCTTTGGGACAACATAGCTCAGCAGGGGGTGAAGTAGGGGAGGGAGTGGAGGGAGAAAACAGGAGTTTTGTATGCAAGTGCGTGTATGTGTGAAATGCTTTACGTATGTAATCTCATTTAAGTTAAACTTCAAAACATCCTTATGATGTAGGTGGTGGTGTACCTATTGTGGAGAGGAAGAAACTGAAGTTAGATAATTTTTGCTGTCGAGTCCATCCAGACTCATGTTAACTCCAGGTGTGCCAGAGTAGAACTGTGCTCCATAGGGTTTTTAATGGCTGCTTGTTTGGAAGTAGAGTGCCAGGCCTTTGTTCCGAGGTGCCTCTGAGTTGACTCAAACCTTCAACCTTTTGGTTAGCAGCCGATCGAGTTAACTCTTTTTCACCACCAGGTACTCCAATTTGTGCATAAAAAATAAAAGACCAAACCTATTGTCGCTGAGTCATTTCTGACTCATAGTGACCCTGTAGGACTCAGTAGAACCGCCCCGTAGGGTTTCCAAGGAGTGGCTGGTAGAATCAAACTGCTGACCTTTGGTTAGCAGCCAAACGCTTAACCACTGTGTTTTAATCCAGGTCTATTGTTTGTCCCTCAGAAGAAAGGTCTGGTGATCTACTTCTGAAAAATCAGCCATTGAATACCCTATGGAGCACTGTTCTACTCTGACACTCATAGGGTGCCATGAGTCAGAATCAACTCAGTAGCAACTGGTGTTGTCCAAAGGCTTTGATCTCCCCAGTTGCACAATGTATTTTGCTACTGTGCAACTGTTACACAAGTGAATGTACAGTGAGGCGGATTCTCTGTTAGCATTATAGTAAGAATCACGGTTTCATGGGAATCACAGGATTGACAAACCATTTTAAAAGAAAACATTCCTCATTGATTAGTGGGCACTTAGTTTCTGCTAAGGGTGATGAAAAAATTCGGAAGCAGACAGTGGTGATGGTTGTGCAACATGATGAATATAATTAATGTCACCGAATTGTACATGTAAAAATGTTGAAATGGCAGATGTTTTATTACATATATTTTTACCATGATAAAAAATACAGAAAAAGAAAATGTCCCTTTCCTTCTGGAATGATTACATGAAGAGATTGTATCCTAATCTCCCTTCCCTTTCAAGGGTAGACTTTTCAAAACAAAAATAACTTATGACTTAGAAATACATGCTGTTCATACCACGGAGTCAGGTTGTCATGAGCGTCTAGGAAATCCTTGGCAGTTCACTGCCATGTGTAAATAGCCAGAGCAGACATTCCAGGGTAGAGATATTTTCTGTTCAGTCTGTTCCCTAGGACCATCATTCTGGCCGTGAAAATAGAAGGAGAAACCTAGAGATGGGTGTTTGTGCAGGAGAATGTGCGTGGTGTAAATAAAAAAGTGGGCAACTAAATTATATTTTGGTGAGATACTTTCTACTATACAGAAGTTAAACCTAAACATCTGAATTATCTTATGATGCATCTTTCAAAATTCTCTCATATATTCTGCTTCTATCTAACATTTTACCCATGAAGGTACTTTCATGTCATGGGTTTGTCTGTATTGTTTCCTCTTACTTCAGAGCTTTGATATCACCACCATGGTCAGAGATGTGAACTTCATTGAGCTGCGTTTCCAGTCAGCAGTGTTGTATGCAGCCCAGCAGAGCGAAGCTCACACTGGCTACCAGGTGCCCCCAAACTGCCCTCCGCTTGTGCAGAAGGGCGAATGCCACGTCAACTTTATTCGGAAGGTAATGGTCTCTCACATGGATGGGGCTTTAGCCTTGAGGATTGATTGTGACAGCATGCGAAGTGCTTGCTTGAAGACTCTGGTGGCATTTCAGAAGTTGAGTCTCTCTCTTGCTCCCTCAGTGGGATTTGAAAATCTGAAACAAGACTCAAAAGATTATCTGAATGTTTGTGGAGAATCTTCATCTTTCTAGGTTTTTTTTTTTTTTTCTGAAGCATGTTTCAGAACTTAAATAACATCAGAAAAAGAAGAAAAATATGCAACTGATGATGTAACTTTACAAATTTATTTGTTAACATGTGGATTTATCCAGCTTTTCACCAGACTGTGAGGTTCACATTTATTATTATTCTTGTTACTAGGAAGCCTTCTGCAAATATTAATATATTTGCTGACATGTTCTCATATTTACTACTTGTTATTGTTGTTAGGTGCTGTTAAGTTGGTTCTGACTTACAGTGACCCTATAGGACAGAGTAGAACTGCCCCCTAGGGTTTCCAAGGAGCAGCTGGTGGATTTGAACTGCTGACCTTTTGGGAATTATTTTTTCTCTTAGGTCTGGATGACTTAGATTTATTCTAATACATGGTTGAAATACTATTCTATCATGATATTTAATTTTACCAGTAAATGGAATCTTTGGGTTAATTGTGAAAATACTAAATTTTTTGCCAGCACTCTTTAGATGTCAGCTGACAAATTCTGATTATTTGTGACTAGTTAAGTGGCTCTCTTTTGGTTGGATGGTCTTACTGTTAAATTATGTTTCCTAGTACCTGTATGGAAGCCCTGGTGGCTTAGTGGTTAAGTGCTATGGCTGCTAACCAGAAGGTTGGCAGTTTGAATCCACCAGGTGCTCCTTGGAAACCGTATGGGGCAGTTTTAGTCTGTCCTATAGGGTTGCTGTGAGTCAGAAGCTACTCGATGGCAACAAGCCTTTTTTTTTTTTTAGTACCTGTATAAGGAGCCCTGATGGAGCAGTGGTTAAGAGCTATGGCTGCTAACCGAGAGGTTGGCAGTTCGAACCCACCCTCCTGTGGCTTCTTGGGAGAAAAGACCTAGAGATCTGCTCCAGTAAAGATTACAGCCTAGAAAACCCTATGGAGCAGTTCCACTCTGTCAGGTAGGGTTGCCATGAGTCAGAGCTGACTCAGCAGCACACAACAAGAACAACACTACCTACATAGGTACTGAGGTCAAAATTATACCTTCTCTGTTTTGCAACCTACCCAAACGTGTATCAATGACTCTTTAACCATTTGTTCATACCGCTGTAACTGAACAGTCTTTGAATATTTCCGTGGCAATACTCAGTAGTCAAGTATTCCGGAACACATATATTCTGTATAAGATTCATCTTTTGATTTTTTTTTGCCTTTGGCTTCAAAGGCCACAGTGATTTGAATCCTAGAGGTTGTACTTTTTCTTTCTCCCCTTCTGTCTTTAAAAACCAGTTGCCATTGAGTTGATTCCAACTCATAGTGACCCCATGTGTGTCAGAGTAGAATTGTGCTCCAAAGGGTTTTCAGTGGCTGTTTTTTTGGAAGTATATCACCAGGTCTTTCTTCTGAGGCGCCGTTGGGTGGACTCGAATTTCCAACCTTTCAGTTGTGTTAACTGGTTGCACCACCCAGGAACTCCCTTCCGTCTTTAGCTTTCTTTTAAAACCAGGACTAACCAGATCCTAACGTGAAAAGAATAGATACAGTTCTCTTTTCAGGTTGTCAATAAAGGTAGTGTATGTGTTATACAAATAGCCATGTAAGGTTTTCCTGTATCCCTATTTAATTTAAAAAAGACTTTCAGATTATCTAGATAGATCAAAGCTTTTTGTCACTGAAATCAGGAATCACACCTAGATTTCTTCTGTCACAGTGTGAGGGACACTAACCCTGGGGCAGACTTCCCAGAATGATGAATTGCATCTTGGTGTTTCTGCCTGGATTGACATGGTCCAGTGGGAAGGGACCTGAATTGGAGACCAAGTCAGCAGTCTCAAGTCCATCATTTGTATTTGGAGCTAATATCTGCCCTTCCTTCCTAATACAAATACAAAGGTTAGGTCTAGAGATATTTTGGAGAAGTTTAGAGAGTAATTATTGTGTTGTTCAGTGAAATAAGCTTTTGAAAAATGAATGCACAACTATTCTTAGATTTTATGTTCTTAGAACATTTCTGCCAATTTAACTATGTTGTGTAAGTTGAGATATTGGATATTTTTTTAGTCATCTCTTGATGTGTAACGTATTACCCCAAAACTTAGCTGAGAACAACATTTATGATCACAGTTTCTGTCAGTCAGGAATCTGAGCTCAGCTTAGCTGGGTGCCTCTGGCTCCAGCTCTCTCGTGAGACTACAGTCGGCTAGGGCTGGGCTGCATTCATCTCAAGGCTCAACTAGGGCTGAAAAGTCAGCTTCCAAGCTCACTCACTGGCAGGCCTCAGAAGACTGGCTTCCGAGCTCACTCACGTAAGCTTCTCCACAGGTCTGCCTTACAACACAGGGGCTGGCCTCCCCTTTGACCAAAAGAGAGTGAGAGAGAGAGAGCGTCCAAAACAGAAGACACAGTCTCTTATGACCTCATTTTGGAAGTGAGTCCCATCCATCACTTCTGTTGTATTCTAGTAGTTAGAAGTGATTCAGTGCGTCTAATCCATACTCAAGGAAAAGAGATTACATAAAAGCATGAGTACTAAGAGGGGATTATTCATTGGGGACCATCTTAGAGGCTGTATTTGAAAAAAAAAAAAAAAATTTCATATAATGTTTTAAAAGAAAAGACTTTTCATGTTTAAATTTCATGATACTCAGACTATATCTTTTTTTCCTACTTAATATTGTAGGAGCAGTGTTCCTTTAGTTGGGACTGGGGGCCTTCCTTTCCTACCCAGGGAATCTGGAAAGATGTTAGAATTGAAGCCTATAATATTTGTCATCTGAACTACTTCACATTTTCCCCTATATATGGTAAGCTAAGAGATGTGGTTTCTTTTTTCTTTTTCAGCCTCCTCCTTGTTATAAAAATTGGGTTTATAATTTGAATATATAGATATATATTTCAGAGACAGGTTTTTTTTTTTTTTTTAACTTTGTGGCACATTCAGTTTATGAAAGTGAAAAAATATATACAAACTGATTTTTTAATGAAAATTTACAATATAAAGCAGGTAGGTAGATATCTTTTAGCATATTTTGCAAGAAGTAAAAAAAGAAGAGAAAAGAAAGAAAGAAACTAAGTGAGAAAGAACATGCTCCAAACTTTCCCAGGCTAAGTATTCTGGAATGCATTGTGCCTACTGGCTTGCCCTTCTTTTTGCTACCTCTGAAGTCACTTTTGGAACTCCACTGTGGCGAGTTCTGTGTGTGCTCAACTTGCCAGGGTGGCTCTCTGTCACTGGGCACTTTCTCCATAACTAAGCACTCCTGTGAGGGCCTTGACACGGGCCTTGTTAAGAGTTGAAAATAAACTGAAAGGCAAACAGGGCATAAAGAAAGTCTTGTAAGGTGAAGAATACTACTTTTTCAGTTGAAGGGAATTATTCCCTCTAAAGGTGCATTGAATAAAAACCTCAGAACTCTCACAGATGTCAATGAATCTGTTAAAAGCTGGTCAGGTATATGTTGACTCTTTTGCTTGGCTCTGTCTTTGACATAGAAAAGAGATATCGAATGTATACTTGTGCCTTAATGAGCTACTCATTGGTTGGGATGAGGAGAGGAGATATAAACAGTCACCAAGCTATACAAATTGTGTAATCGTCTTCCAGGATGAGAGCCACAGATGTTCAGAAAGTCAAGATCGGTGAGGATTCGAGAAGTTAGGGAAATCAAGGGTGACAGTGCAGGCAAGTGGGGCCTTAATGGATAATGCACAATGCTCAGTCCAATTACGCGCAGGACTAACGAGATGAACTCACTAAGAAAGAGTGTGGTGTGTCAGTACAAGAATTCTGTTGTCTTTAGGGCTCTGCTCATCCTGGATTGCTGTTCAGTTGAGCCAAATCTGAATATGCTAAAGGCAGATGCCAAAAGCAAATCACAGATGGTTAGTAATTGAGGAGGTTATTTGGTGCTGCTGGTGTTTTTAAACATTGTTAAGAAGACATTAAGAGATTTGATCTCAATTGTACGTATAAATGTGGCTGAATTTATAGGTCTCTAATTTAGTGCTTTTCAAAAAATTTTCTGATAAGATGTAACCTGAACTAAGGAGTTTTGCTGCTAAAATCATATAATGGTTTATTCTCCCCATCTTCCCACCTCCACCTAGAACATTTCTCAGGTATATATACTAGAATCTAGTATAAGAAGGAGTATGATTTAGCAAAGTGTTATTTACTTAATAATTTGGAAGCTTAATCATTGTTTTAGGTGGTTTCCAGAAATTACCGTGAATTCCAGGTATCTGGAAAAGTTTGAATAACATTGCTGCAGTGTAATTGAAAATTAAGTGTGAAGCTAAACATTTCTTCCTGAATATGGGTTATTAGAGTTCAGTTTACTAGTCACTAGTGACAGGTGAATTTCATTTGAATAAAATAAATTTAAATGGTGTTAAAAATTTGCAGAAAAAGTCAAAATGCCATCTCTCAAGTCAATGCAGTTTATACAGTGTACTCTCCTCTGTTCCACTTCTGTTTCAACACCAGCTGTGCATGCAGCATTTCTTTCTCTGACCTTCCCCACCTGGAGCTAGGTCTGACCTTACAAGTTAATGAGCACATTTGTCCAGACTGCCAAATCTGCCCCAAGACCTCAAATGCCAGCCACAACACCCTCACCTCTGACCTGCTGGCGACAAATTGGGGATTTTCCTACTACTTCTTCAGGGTGCCAGATCTAAGCTTGAAAGTCACTAGGACACCCTTCACTTCTGATCTGCTGGCTACAAATTTAGGAGTTCCCTCTACCTCCTCAGGATACCAGCATAAGCACAGGGGGTCTCCAGCCCCCTGCTGGCTCCCACTACTTCTTTGGGTTGAATAACTTTCTAAAATGACTCACGGAACTCAGAAGAAGCTCTATTCTTATGATTAACTATAAAGTTTTATTATAGCAAAGAGGATACAAATGAAGAAACGTGTAGGGTGAGGCCTGGGAGGTTTCCCAGTGTGGAGTTTCCATGTCCAAAAAAGGGACTCTGCTCTCCCACATGCATAGATGTCTTTCACCAAGCAGGAAACCCATGGAGCTTGCCTATCCAGAGTCTTTAGTGGGGCCTTATTACGTAGGCATGAATGATTAAATCATGCCCTCACCTCCCCTGAGGTCGGGCTCATATCACAGGGCAGGTCTTTTCTGGTTTGGCAGCTCCCACATGAATCACATCATTAGCATAACCTGTTAGGTTAGGTGTGGTCTGGAGCCTTCAACAAGGACGCTCCAAGCAGTGGAGTCACTAGGGTCCGTGTCACCAGTGCGGTAACTCATGGTGTCATCCCTCCTCCCTGGTGGGTGGAGTGGCCCAACCTTGCCCCGACTTCGTGACCCTGCCCCTCTCAGCCCCACCCCCATGGCTCCCTGCAACTCCTCCCTTCTCCCATTGGCCAAGGCGGAGACCCTCCTCTCTGCCCAATGGCAAGTGCCACTGCCTAGCTGCCCACACCCTGACCGGCAGGTGACGGGGTGTGTGTGTGTATGTGTGTGTGTGTGATGATGCGTTACCACAGTGGGTGACACCAGCCCTAGTGACTGGTGGGTGACGGGGGCCAGTGTGATGAGTTCCTGCACTGGGTGACAGGTGATACCAATTCTAGTGACACCACTGCCTTAGAGACCCGCCCCCTGATGGTGCGGGCTCGCTCACCACCGCTGCTGTTGCGGACCCTGGGGTTATTTTGGTGTCGGGGTGCAGCCAGCACCCCTCACCCTTCCCCCTAGTGATGCTACTGACGCCAAGGTTTTAGAGGTTATCTCGCAGGAACTGAGGACAAAGACCAAATTTTTTGGGTAAAGTTAGTAGTAAACCCTACAAAATTTGGTTTAAATGCAATGTAATCAATTCCCCACATCAACTACATTTTTCATGTTTTATGACTGCAGTGCATTTTGTATTCAACATAGAGAAGTCTATATTTCCTGTTCAGAAGATGTACCCTGTGTATATTAAGCAGTAATTATTATATTTCTGATTAATTTTACAGATATTGATTTGGTTAGCTGATGTAATAAAATTGAAGAATGAACTTATCAAAGCATTAGGAGAGGAACTGCCTTTAGTTTTTTCAGAAAAAAAAATTCAGTTTGTATCTGAAAGATAACACTTATCACTGAAATCAGAAGACATTTAAAAGTTGAAAGATAATTACCAAGATAATAAACTTATGTATTCTGGGCACTTTTTTTTTTTTTTTGTGGTGAAAATATCCACAATAAAATACTCTCCAGTTCAACAATTGCTACATATACAATTCAGTAACATGGGTTATTACATTCTTCGTGTTGTGTAACCATTATTGTCATCCTTTTCCAAATTATTCCACCACCATTAACAAAAACTCAATGCTCCCTAAGCATAAACTCCCCTCTCCCCCTCCCTCCCATCTTTGGGAAGCACTACTAATCTTTTGTTTGAATATATTTACTTAGTTCATATAAGTGAGATCATATAGTACTTGTTCTTTTGGGACTTACTTCACTCAACATAAAGCTTTCAAGTTTCATCCATGTTGTGGCATGCATCAGAACTTTTCATTGTATGTATGTACCACATTTTGTTTATCCATTCATCTGCTGATGGACGTTTTGGTTGTTTCTACCTTTTGGCTATTGAGAGAAGTACTGCAATGAACATTGATGTACTGGTTTCTGTTTGTGTTTCTACCGTTACTTCTTCTGGGTATATACCTAGGGTTGGGATGGCTGTGTCATATGGTAGTTCTGTGATTCCATGTTCAACTTTTTGAGGACTTGCCAAACTGTTTTCCACAGCAGTTGTACCATTTTACATTCCCACCAGCCATGGATGAGGGTTCCACTTTCTCCACAACCTCACCGATATCTGTTGTTTTCTGTTTTTTAATCATTGCCATTCTGGATGTGTATTCTGGATACTTTTATGCATTTATTTGATACATACTATGAGAGTTACTAAAAATAAGATAAAAGGATGAGTTCATAATAAAAAGCAGATAAATGTTTTATTCAAAACCAAATATATTCATTTTAAAAATTTAAATGTGAAACGTTATCAGTCAAAACTAATGGAAGCAGTGTCTGTCTCTGGGTAGTACCATTACAGATGGCTTGTATTTTAATCTCTTGCTTAACTGTCTTTTCTAAATTTTTGTATTGTGTTTATATTATTTGTATAGTGAGGGAGAAAGCAGTTATTAAAACAAACTAATCTATCCAGTGATTTCAACTTACTTAATATGAAAGGCTAACCTAATTTGGCTATGTGGCACTTTTTGCTTTCTCGCCGTTGAGACTAGAAAAAGATAACCTTTTTGCTTTTCCAAGTGTTCAATTTTTTTCTTAATTTTAAAATTAGTGAGCTTACCCCTGAAGATCAAATTACCAACTATACTTCCCAACTTAATTGTTCAGAGTATGATAGAAAAAAAGGATATTAACCTTTTAAAAATTAACTTGAAATTCCTGTGAATTAATTTACTTTACATGTGTATTTCCCTCTATTCTTAGTCCTTATAATAGTGGTTTCCAAACCTTTGCAGTTCTTAATATCCTGTTGCATTTGTTTGATTTTGCCGTAATCTAAATGATTTTTACATATGCTTAATGTTTGAGAATTAAAAAAATGATATTTGAAAAAAGTCGTAAGGTCAGAGGAAAACAGGAGCTACTGCTCTTTATCTCTTAGGCGCCTATGATTATCTAGGTATTAAGATATAACATTTCATTGGTGTTATTTCCTGTAAAACCCCATTAGAAACTATCTATTTGAATGATTCATCCTTGGCCCTAGAATATTCTACTCAGGTTTTTAAATAGCAGTAGCTGTTGTA